ATCACCAAGAGTTCTTGGTGAAATGACAGGATTGTGATACAGAGGAGAATACTTGGGAGAGGGGAACAAACCTCAAAGCCTACAAGAGCTTGATCGATGATTATCTTGCAAGTAAGGCGTTGAGGACGTTGCCAACTCAGGTGGGGGAGAATGCCATGGGCGATTTTCCAGCCATGCCCCATGACCCTTGGACGCGCCCCATCGCATCTTGGAAAGCCTCCTAACGCCTAGCACCATGGACGGCCCCGCGGTCTTGGGCGCGCCAAGTGACAAGAGCGCCTGTGCCTATGTCGCCCCATCGATTGCCCTCGCTAGCGCCTAGCCGCAGGCAGATGCTAACAGCACCGCGCGTGCAGGCTTTGATGCTAAAGACAAGGTTTCTGCAAATGGACCAGCTTCTACCTTGTAGGAATCTAAGCCCTTTTTATTGTAAATATATAGTAGTTTTACTTCCTATATTTTCATTGTGTCTCTCTATCTTAGTTATATCAAGTCTTGTAACTTTGATTTATTTTTTTAAGTATTATTAGGGGGGATCAAGCAGTCAAACTTTCAAGCAAGCAAACAATTCTCTGTATTGGTGTATCTCCCCATTGACGCTGTGTTGCGTTTCTGTAATAGCTTTCATTAATGCAATCAAGTTTTCTTTCATTCTCATTCTCTTTTCTATTCTCTCAATGGCTCTTGACATTGATTTTTTTGTGCGACACTGTCAGTCTCGTCTAGCGTACGGCGGGAACCCTAGTTGATGGATAGTAACCGCACAGATATTGGTTTCTTAACCTTACGTCGCCCTTTGAAGAAATCTGAGCAAGGCCCCGCGTAACAGTAAAGATGTCCTACAGAATAGTACTAATGTATAGGGATTAATTATCTAACTAAGGATCCTCCGGTTGACGGTATAATAATAATTATTTTCAACATAAAATTCCGTATAAAACAATATATGTATGATAGGCTACATAAGAAAAATATCCGCATCATAACTTATACTATTTTTAGTTGGCAGTATTAAATGATATTGTCATTCAGATACAAAAAATTGTACTATTCTATGTGAAAATATGATATAGAATAAAAATATATATGTTAGCATTTAGAAATACAATAATTAAACTATTTATCAACAAAAATTTCCTTTTTAGGTAAACAATTCATATCCTCGTTGTTATTAAGATGTGTATTAAGATCTGAATACTAAAGACTATTTGATTTTTAACATCTGAATGTATAAAATTTATCTTTATTCGAAAATTAAAAAACATAAATTCAAATTTAATACTAATTAATCTAATTTTCTACTAATAAAATATATAGTTCTTTAAAATAAGATAGTTATTGGTGGTGATGGCTAATAGGCGAATGCCGACTAGAGGCGGTGGTTGGTAGTAGTTTTGGTTGATGGTGGTTGTTTAGGGTAGTAGCTTTTGGTGATTTGTAGTGGTGGCGATTATGATTGAGGATGGTGGTGGTGGGTAGTGATAGTTAATAATTGCGGGTGGTGGTGGTAATTGTAATTGAGGAAGGTAGTGAGTGGTGGTAGTAGGTTATAATGATAAGTAGTATTGGTTGTGGTTGTTGATGGTGATAGGGTAGTTAGTTGAGGTGGATGAGTGTTGATTGTGCTTGAGAATGATGGTGGTGAGGGGGGTGGGTGGTGATAATCGATAATGGCGGCGGCTAGGATTGAGGATGGCGGTGGTGGTGGTGGTGGGTGGTGGTGGTGGTGGTTGAGTATGGTGGTGGTGGCGGCATGGTGGTAGTTGATAATGGTAGGTGGTGGCGGCAATTAATAATGAATATAAATTATAGCATCTTAATGAAATTAAGTCTCTGTTATAGATCTTAATCATACAGACCTATTCAGACTCATTAAGTGGTTGTGAAGTAAAAAAAATAAACACACTTAATAATTAAGATTTGAATAATTAAGATTCAGACTTTAAAAACAAAGGCACTTAATGTCTGGGATCTGAATAATTAAGATTCAGATCTTCATTAAGTGCAAACAAATGAGGCCTTACACTACCATCTTCGCATAACCAAGGGGGAAGTGCACGGTTAGTCACTAATAACACATGTATTTATTTTTAAGCCACTGTTTAAAATGTCTTTAGTCTTTAGCCACTGCTTTAATAAACATTACCTGCCCGGACGAAAATACCCTTCTGCTCATAAAAGTTCAGGACCAAGTGTTCTTAACTTTTGAACTTGCAACTCTAAGGGTGTGTTTGGTATAACGGAAAATGTTTTCCGTGGAAATAATTTTTCAAGAAAATATTTTTTTTGAAAAACAAGTAGTAATCTTATTCATTTTCCGGTGTTTGGTACGCAAATTAAGGAAAATACTTCTCAAGAGTATTCATAAATAATTTAGATATAATAAACATATAGCCATAAACTTTCAAACCAACAACCTTCTGAATCCACAAATTTCATAAACTTTCGAACAACTAAACTTTCGAAACCGCGAAATTTCGAACCCGTAAACTTTATAATTTCTAAACCCGTAAACTTCCAAACACATAAACCTCTGAACTCATAACTTTGGTACTTGTAAAATTTTGAACCTTTAAACCGATAAAAAAAAACTAAAACTGAAAAATATATTTAAAAAATATTTTTTTCGGGAGGGGGGATGCAGAAAATGAAAAAAGCAGAAATTTGAATTATAAAAAAAAAGTAAAAAAACTTTATTTTTTACTTCGGGGACGGGGGGGGGGTTGGCTGGGTGTAGGGGGAGAGTGAGGGTGGGTGGTGCAGAAAACGAAAAACAGAAAGTAAATTTTTTATTTTGCGGAGGGGGTGTGGGTGGGGTGAGGGATGATGGGGTAATAGGGTGGGTGGTAACAAAAAAAGTGAAATTTAAAAAAAAAAAAAGGCTTTTATTGGAGAGGGGGGTGGGTTGGTGAGGGTGGAGAATGTTGAGAAGGAGTTTTGCAAAATATTTTCCCTTCTCTTGATAAGGAAAATATTTTCCTCCAATTGGAGGAAAATGAGTTGATAAGGAAAATGTTTTCCAAAATATTTAAGCTAACCAAACATGGGAAAATTGAAAAACATTTTCCGGAAAATATTTTCCTCCATACCAAACACACCCTAAGTTCAGGACTTCAGGACTACATGTCCTTAACTTTTGAACTTGGAACTCAAAATTCAGGACCAAATGTCCTTAAGTTCTGTGCTTGTAACTCTAAGTTATGGATTACTTGTCCTTAACTTTTGAACTTGTAAATCTAAGTTCAGGACCTATTATCCTTAACTTTTGAGCTTGTTAGTCTAAGTTCAAGAACAAGTGTCCTTAACTTTTGAACTTGTAACTGTAAGTTCAGGACCAAGTGTCCTTAACTTTTTAGCTTGTTAGTCTAAGTTCAAGACCAAGTGTCCTTAACTTTTGAACTTGTAACTGTAAGTTCAGGACCAAGTGTCCTTAACTTTTGAGCTTGTTAGTCTAAGTTCAAGACCTATTGTCCTTAACTTTTGAGCTTGTTAGTCTAAGTTCAGGACCTATTGTCCTTAACTTTTGGGCTTCTTAGCCTAAGTTCAGAACCTATTGTCCCTAGCTTTTGAGCTTGTTAGTCTAAGTTTAGGACTTCAGGACCTATTGTCCTTAACTTTTGAACTTGTAACTGTAAGTTCAGGATCTATTGTCCTTAACTTTTGAGCTTGTTAGTCTAAGTTCAGGACCAAGTGTTCTTAACTTTTGAAATTGTAATTCTAAGTTCAGGACCAAGTGTCCTTAACTTTTGAACTTGGAACTCGAAGTTCAGGACCAAGTGTCCTTAAATTATGAGCTTGTTACTGTAAGTTCAAGACTAGCTGTCCTTAATTTATGAGATTGTAAGTCTAAGTTAAGGACTACTTGTCCTTAGTTTTTGAGCTTGTAACTCTAAGTTTAGGACTACATGTCCTTAACTTTTGAACTTGTAACTCTAAGTTCAGGACTACACTGTGACTTGAGTGTAAAATAGCTTCCTTTGATATCTAATTCAGAATATTATAAAGCAAATTATATACACTAAAAATTCAAGATTTGGTCAAATATCCACCAGGAAAAAATATGTCGTTCTTAATATGCCTTCTTAATCTTTTATTAAATATTATGGTAGCATAGCGTGTTGATGTGTCAATTCGTAACATCTCCTTTTCCAATCCAAGCTTGGGGAATCTATAAGCGCTTGACTGCAGAGTATTTATGTCGACTTGTTGAACCCTCCTGCCGAGCTGGAGAAGAGATGGAAGAAAGGGTAACACTATCTTTTCATATTAATTTTAGTAGATTAGTGGCTACTTTTGCTCAGCATGAAAAAATGCTGGATAAAAAGTAAATACCACTTTAAAAAGTGGCTACCCCATGCAATTTTTACCATAACCAACGTGTGAACCAAATAATCCTTAAGGGGTCATTTGGTATGAGGTATAAGAAGGTATAAGGGTGGTATAAAAATTTAATACCACCTTAATATTCTGTTTGGTTAGCAAACCAGGTATAAGTTATCCTGGTGTTAATTTTAACACTGGGATAATTTATACCTTATAGAAGGTGGGGTAATTAACACCGGTATAACTTATACCTTCTTCTTAGAAAATATGCAATTGTCATTCTTAATACAACATACCAAACAATGAATAAACAACAATCCCAACATAACTAATCCCAGCATAACTTATCCCAATATAACTTATACCGGCATAACTTGTACCGGTATAAATCGTATTGCAACCAAACGACACCTAATAGTATTATGAATTTATAATACCTCCATATCATGTTGGCAAATCAAACAACCCTACCACGTAACGAGTGACCTGTTTTTATCCTCCCCCAAGAAACTTGCATCAATAAAGGGCTTATATGACAATAATTCAAAATCTAACAGGGTTCAAATAACACCTTCTCAAACTTTGTTGGGCCAAAATGGTAAATATTTAATATACCTTACTAGAGACACTCTCTTATCTCATTATCAACATACACCAAATGGATATGCATATATATTGATTTTTCACCACAATTACAATCCCTTCAACACACTGAGGTCTCTCTCGTTCAACAATGGCTTCTACAGCTACACCCTCTACTCTCACTCTATCGTCACTTCTCTCACAAGAACTCAACCCCAATTCTCTGCTTTTCAAACCAAAGCCTCTCCTTTTCACACCCCACAAGTCCTTTTCTCTACATCCACTAATCCTCCATTACAAAGAAAGGAAGTCCAATGGACCTATTGTTGTTGCTGCTGCTATGGCTGCTGAAGCTGAGGTTGATGAGGCTGTTGGCGAAGAAGGTGGAGAAGCCGCTGTTGCTGTTGCAATTCCAACCTCCAAGCCTAAGAAAGGCAAAGCTGCTTTGCCTTTGAAGAGGGATAGAGTATGTTGACCAACTCATCTTTTTCTTGTTGATTTCACATATTAAAGATTGTTTTCTTACGTTGTTATATGTGGGTTTTGCTTAATTTTTGTATTTTGTTGATTCTTGTGATGATATTACTATGAAAGTGACTTCTTTTGCCCATGAAGAGGGATAGAGTATGTTGAGCTACTAATCTTTTTCTTGTTGATTTTATGGATTTAGATGTGAAAGATTGTTTCTTTTCGTGTTATATGTGGATTTTGCTTAATTTTTGTATTTTGTTGATTCTTGTGATGGTATTACTTTAAAAATGACTTCCCCCAGGGGTTAGCTCAATTGGCAAAGGTTGGGAAATTTAGGTCACAGGTTTGAGCCCTGTGCCAAGCAAACTAACTCTAGTATTTAAGTGCAGAAGGGTAGAGGGTGGCCCGTCATGTTTTTTTTTTTTTTGGTTTCTCGGTCATCAGAAAAATAATTACAGTAGAAGCGACTTCCTTGCTCCTGTATAGGGATAGAGTATGTTGAGCAACTGTATTTTTCTTGTGATTTTATGGATTTTAGATATGAAAGGTTTATTTCTTCGTGTTATGTGTGGGGTTTGCTTAATTTTTGTATTTTGTTGATTCTTGTGATGATATTGCCATAAAAATGACTTTCTTTGCTCATGAAGAGGGATAGAGTATGTAGAAACTCTCCATTTCTTGTTAATTTTATGAATGTTAGATGAAAGATTGGTCCTTGTTTGTTTGTATGGTATATGGGTTTTGCTGAAGTTTTGTATTTGTTGATCTTTGTGATGATATTACTGTCAAAGTGACATGTTTTGGCATTTCTTGGTTCATTTTTTTTGGCTGAACTTGTCTGAGTTTCTTTGCTTAATGTAAAATTGGTCAATAGTGATTTAAACCCCACAGGTTTGTCTGGTGCAATGGTTATCTAATTTAGTAATTCATTATAATGTAGTAGGTGATTTCTTCGCATCTGCCTAAGCCTTGGTGGACTGAGTAGTAGGTAGCATCCCAGTGGATTAATCGGCAATGCACAAGCTCACTCAAACGAGAAAAATCATAATATAATACCGGGATTATGAAGTGGAATTAAATAATACGTAGATTACAATTTTATAGCAAGGGAAAAGAAATAATGGTTAGGGAAGACTATATTTCACGTCACAGTTTTGCAGTCTTACGCTATGTATCATTTCAAAGGAAGCTAGTTTTTTGTATGCTTACTGGCAATATATAAAGCAAGTTTTTCCATGACCCATGCTTTCCTGTTTGTATCGGAGGACAATTTCATCATAAGTTACTTTTGGTGTAATACTAATAAAGTGTGGTAAAAGAATCTTCTTTTAGAAAGTGGAATCATGATGGAAAAGATCAATCACCAACAACAAACAATCAAATTTTTGATGCAGCAAGTGCTAGGCTATGAGTTGCAGAATTAAAATAAGCATTTAAACTTTCTCATGTGATCCTTGTCCTAGAATATAAGACATCTCAAGTAAATATGCAGTCTGGAGGTTGAATGTCTTACATGTTTCTGCATTTACTTCTTTCTTTCGACCAGTAGTGGATGCCGCTCTACAGGTGAAGAACCTTGCACTTTTCAGATGCTAGTTGTGGAAGATCATCTCTATTGATTTTCAAACTACATTTCTGATATGCTTTTCCTTGGTTGTAACCTTAAGCATCAAAATTCTCTGTTTCTCCCTCTCTCTTATTTACCCATTGCTCCATCTATTTCTCATAAACTGGTTGCTTTTTTCTTTCTTTTTTTGTCATGATAATTAGACACGGTCTAAGAGGTTCTTGGAGATTCAAAAATTAAGAGAAATCAAGAAAGAGTATGACTTGAAAACAGCTATAGAACTGCTCAAAACAACAGCTAGCACAAAGTTTACTGAAACAGCTGAAGCCCATTTCCGTCTCAATATTGACCCAAAATACAATGATCAGCAGCTTAGGGCAACTGTAAGTTTTCATTCATCATCATACATACTTCAAAGTTTCTATCGCGTGTTTAGTGGTATGATTAGTATCTCCAATTGTGGCGACTTCTTTATTTCAGGTTAATTTGCCCAAGGGAACAGGTCAAACTGTTAAAGTGGCTGTTCTTACCCAAGGTACTTCCTTAAGATATATTTTGTGTGAATCTATCATGATAGTAAGCCAATAGATTGATCTTCAGTTTTAAAGATTGTGTCACTAATGCCCCGAAAGCAAGGCATACTTTTTGAAAGCTAGAAGGAAAAGTTGGCATCTGAATTATAATTTATTGCCTGCCGTCATTGGCATCATCTCTCATCTTTAAGGGAATATACTGCACTGTGAATATGTTCTCATATGTCTGAACTTTATCCTTCTATCACTGCCCATAGGAAACGTCAACTCTGGTTCTTCTCTAGACTATCAAAGACAATCTTCCAATGTACTTTTACGTTCTTATTCCATTCTTCCTGTCCTTTTTCCTAGGCAATGTGAAACTGTTCAACTCAGTAATCGTATCCGTCTTCTCTTTTTCATTGAAACTACTTCTTTTCTCCAGCAAATAGTTGTACACTCCTCTTTCAATTTGTAGATTGTTTCAATCTGTAAAAGTAGTGCTCAAAGGCGCACCTGATGAACAGTTTTCATTTGTGAAGCTTCAAGCTGCATATGATGCATTACCTAATGTACTAATCTTGATCCGCTTGAAATGAAACATTGATTTTAGTTTGGCCATGCTTTATTTACTTAAAGAAGTGTAATACAATATTTTTGACCAATGATATCTTGATGAAGCTATTATCTTTCATGCTTCTCTCTTTGATCTTGAAGCTTTGCTCTTTCCTCAAATTGCAAACCAGTTTAGTAGTTTCCACCTCTTGAGTGCAGTGAAATTTTGTGTTACGTCACTTACCCTGTGTAGAAATCCTCTCTATTTGGAAAAGGAGGCACCTGCCTCAAGATACTACGAGATCATCATAGAGAGAGACATGGTAAAAATAAATGAAACAAAAGACTCCAATGAGGTATTCTAAAAAAAAGATGATCACGTGTGGTCTTCCTTTTGCAGTGTGATTGTTTTGTCTAGTTTTAAACCCTACCTACTGAATGCACTATGCTAGGCTCTTTTTGCATTTGGGATGTGGTCAAATGGTAGTTATAGACTGTTCTGCTCTTGAAATATTTCTTTGGAATTGTAGTCTCTATTTTGTATGCTAATTGTGTTGCAGCCAAAATTCTACAGGTGAAAAGTTCGATGAAGCAAAAAATGCAGGAGCTGATTTAGTGGGTGGAGAGGATTTGATAGAACAGATAAAGGGAGGATTTATGGATTTTGACAAATTGATTGCGACACCAGATATGATGCCTAAGGTGTTTCTCTAGTCTTTGCTGAGATAACGGTGTGACTTGCCTTTTGTGTTCAATTTGATCTCTCTTTTCATCTTTATACTTTCTTCGAAAACCAGCCTACAAACGCTTGTCTCTTGGTTTTAAGAATTTAATATTGAAGTGTCCACTACAGTCTAAGAGTGACTGTCCTGAACCAACTCATATGGCTTGGTGAAAAGCTCTCAGCTGTTGTTTCCTTTTCTTCTGAAAACTTCTCTGTTAAGTTGTTTTGGTTGAATGAAACATAATTTTGTTAACTTTTCATAGAAGCTTCTGATACTTGCAGTCTTTCTCTATCCTTCGGTGTACCTTTTTTTCATACCTTTTGCTAAGTTGGTGCTCATAAAATTCATCAAACTCAAAATCTGGTTGGTTATCAGAGCACATGTTTTCTGAGCAAACCTTCTTTCTTTAAAAAGTTAATTTTAAAATTTCATATTTTTACATTGTACTCGACTTCTTTATGCTTCATGCGAACATTTTTCACACAGTATGCTTGAATGATTTATGGTCCCTCTTGTTCTGTCTTAGATCTAGTAATGCTGCAGGATGGAGGGCCATAGTGACCCTAGCTTAAGCTGAGCAATCAATCATAGAGGCTCCCCAGCCCCTCTTTCCATTTTAAGGCTGCCGGACAGCTGATGTGAAAAGTTGCATCTCTTTAAGTTACATTTGTCTCGAAACATTTTTTTTAAAAATTTACTCCTGAACATATCTGCGGCTCATTTTGCATTATTTTTTTGTGGATTCATATTAAATACATTCTCTATCATTTGCGACAGGTAGCTAGCTTAGGTAGGATTCTGGGACCTAGGGGACTCATGCCGAACCCAAAAGCTGGTACTGTCACTACAAATATACCTCAGGTGAAGTGTCAGTATTTTCTGCTTGTGGAAAAAGTTAATCAGAATACTGTATTTTTATGTCCCAACTTTCTCTTTGTAAAATGGAATAATGCCTAGATCTTTATATAAAATGAAAAATGGAAAAGTTCATATATGCTAGCTGAAGTCATTCCGAGTTACGAAATGCAAAACAATGTGAGTAGCGAGTAGGCTGATGATTTGCTTATTGCACCATTTTTCAAGCATGTAAAATGATTAATTTCTTCCAGGCTATCGAAGAATTCAAAAAGGGTAAAGTAGAATACCGAGCAGATAAAACTGGAATAGTTCACTTACCATTTGGAAAAGCAAATTTCTCGGAAGAAGATCTTATCATAAACTTCATCGCTGCAGTGGTATGTTTTATGCTTACCTTCTACTTCTTGTTCCAGAGTGGTTGAAATGTGCCATTGATATGTATAAAATTCATTCAACTGCATTTTTTTCAATAACAGAAATCAATAGAAGCAAACAAACCATCAGGTGCAAAAGGAGTTTACTGGAAGAGTGCACATGTATGTTCGTCAATGGGGCCATCCATTCGGTTAAATGTAAGGGAGATGCTCGAGTACAAGCTTCCGAACGCTTAATTGACCTACACATGTATATTGCATCTTCTGTCATCTACCTAGCTTCTTTGGCGCCTTAACTGAGCTTCCATTTGAGAGGGTTAGGATACGGAGTAGGTGGAATTCGAGAGGAGATTCAATGCCATATTGTCAATATTTCTGCGGAAGCTTTCTTAGGCCCAGTTGCTAAAGAAGTATTCTTGTTTGACAATGCCAATTGTATGTTCAATTTGATTCTCTGTAGGTGCTAATGTATATCATGCTATAATTCGCAAAAGGTGAAGCTAGTCAAATTCATAAATTTCCTACACTACAAGATTCTTATTTATGGTCATGTCTCAGTTTGTCCCAACAGTTGAATAAACGTGAGAGTTTCAGTATTTTGTTACTTATCAAAGGAGAAGAAAAAGTCGGACTATTTTCTGGTCCATATAAGACAATATAGTGAAAATAGCACGGGCTAGTCAGTTTCCGGACTGGTAATTGAAAAATAACCAGCGTTTGTAAAGTCATTGAAAAATAGTCACTATTTTGCTGCAACACGGAAAGTTCCAGTATAATATACTGGAGATTAGGGCACCTGTGTATGAACTTCCAGCATATTATGCTAGAACTCCAACACACGGAAAGTTCCAGCATAATAAACCGGAGATTGGAGCACATGTGTATGAATTTCCAGCATATTATGTTGGACCAATATATTATACTGGAACTCCAGTATATATATTATGCTGGAATATTTTTCGGATTTATTACCATCGGTATTACGCCTCTACACTATTTTATCTATTTCGCTGATTACGGAATTTAAAATATTAATTTGACTTATACTATATGAAAATGAATTATATACCTCCATGAGATTTCATCTCGTAATACATACTTCCCCTATGACTTCAAACGTTATATGAACTTTTCTTGTTTCTTATTTTTCCCAAAAAAAAAGTATTTTGTAACATAGAAATGGACAAGTTCGCCATTCATAGCTAGTTTTATTTTTAATCTATTTCTGTCACAAACTAACCTGGCCTTTTGTTGATAATTATATTAAGAACACTGTAGCGATTACACGAGTCAACTGTCGAGGGAGGGGCCGCACCTAAGAGGTGTGATATAAACGACTACCCTAATGCAAGCATTATTGGCTACCTCCACGACTCAAACCCGTGATCTACAGAGAGACAACTTTACCATTGCTCTAGGGCTCCAAATACAAAATAAGACCGAATTCACCTCAGATCTTCAAAAATGTCATTAATTGGTATTTTAATCAAGTGGTCTTCCCAAAGGTCTTTGTTATGCCATCCCCATAGTAGCGCCAAAAACCTTTATAACCATGCATATTCAAAGAAAGGGGAAAATTAGAATAAACAAAACAGCCTATCAAAAAGAGGAAGAAGAATAGTTTCTTTTTTTTAAAAAAAAAGGAATGATTAAAGTATGCAATATGTCCGTTTAATAAGCTAAAAGCTGAGAAGCTGTTGATGAATGTGCTGTTATATATTTGCAATTTGCAGTAATTTATACTAACAAAACCCGCCTAGGCCAATGGCTCAAACCTCAAAGGTATTCTTCTCCTTTGCTAATCACCATCACTGGCATTCTTCCACCATTGATTCCATTAAGATCGCAACTCCTGCTTCACTTAATAGCCGCCATCCTGTTCCAAAGCTTCTCTATTCTTATGACAATGTCTTTCATGGCTTCAGCGCTGTTTTGTCTAAAGATGAGCTAGAAGCTCTCAAGAAGTCCAAAGGTTTCATTTCAGCTTATAAAGATAGGTCTCTTGAAGCTCATACTACACATACCTCTGAGTTTCTTAAGCTCAACCCCTCCTCTGGTCTATGGCCAGCTTCTGGTTTTGGCCAGGATGTGATCATTGGTGTTCTTGACTCTGGTGTCTGGCCGGAGTCTGCAAGTTTCAGAGATGACGGGATGCCCGAAATCCCTAAAAAATGGAAGGGAATTTGTCGGCCAGGCGTGGAGTTTAATACTTCAATGTGCAACAGGAAGCTCATTGGGGCCAATTACTTCAATAAGGGACTAATGGCCGAAAATCCTGATTGGAACATTTCCATGAATTCTGCAAGGGATACTGTTGGTCATGGCACTCATGTTGCCTCTATTGCTGCTGGTAACTTTGTCAAAGGAGCTTCATATTTCGGATATGCTCCTGGAACAGCAAAAGGGGTTGCACCGCGAGCTAGACTTGCTGTGTATAAGTTTAGCTTTGATGAAGGGAACGTCGCTTCTGATTTGATTGCAGCTATGGACCAAGCTGTGGCAGATGGTGTTGACATGATATGCATTTCCTACGGCTGGCGCTTTATTCCTTTGTATGAAGATACTATTGCAATTGCTGCTTTCGGTGCCATGATCAAGGGTGTGCTAGTTTCTGCTTCAGCAGGAAATAGTGGTCCTAATATGGGAAGTTTAAACAATGGAGTCCCATGGATCTTTACAGTAGCATCAGGTCATACTGACAGGTGGTTTTCTGGGACTCTGACACTGGGAAATGGTCTAACGATTAGGGGATGGAGCTTGTTTCCAGCAAGAGCAATCATTAGCAATTGGCCTGTAATTTACAACAAGACATTGTCTGCTTGTGATTCAGCTGAATTATTAGCCCAAGTACCTGATGCTGGACGTAGCATCATCGTTTGTCAGAGGAGCGGAGATGCAGAAGTAGTTACTGACCAAATGAACTATGTTGCAGAGGCCAGAGTTGGAGCAGCCATCTTGATTACCGAAGATCCAGCAATATTAAGGTCCACTGAATTTCCAAATCCTGGAGTTGTTATAACCCCTAAGGAAGGGAAACAGGTTATGAATTATGTCACAAAGACTCCTGAACCCAAGGCCAGCATTAGTTTCCTGGAGACGTATTTAGACTCAAAGCCTGCTCCAGTTGTTTCTGCATCCTCAGCTAGAGGCCCCTCTCGAAGCTACCTGGGAGTGGCAAAGCCAGACATATTAGCACCAGGAGTGTTAATTCTAGCCGCCTACCCGTCTAATATTGCAGTTGAGAAAATTGGTACCAATGTAGAATTGGCAACTGATTACTATCTTGAATCAGGCACATCCATGGCTGCTCCGCACATTGCTGGAATAGCTGCAATGGTTAAAGGTGCACATCCTGAATGGAGTCCTTCAGCTATTCGTTCCGCCATGATGACCACTGCCAACCCTTTGGATAATACTCAAAAACCCATAAAAAGTTCTGAGGATAACAAACGTGCTACACCACTAGATATGGGAGCTGGGCATGTTGATCCTAACCGGGCTCTTGATCCAGGCCTCATATATGATGCCACTCCGCAAGATTATGTTAATCTTCTTTGTTCTTTGAATTTCACAGAAGAGCAGTTCAAAACAATTGCAAGATCATCAGCCAATCACAACTGCTCAAATACATCCTCGGATATCAATTACCCATCATTTATTGCATTCTTTAGCCCACAAGGGGACTTGACTTGGTTGGAGCAGAAATTCAGGAGGACGGTAACAAATGTTGGGAGTGGTGCAGCTAAGTATAGAGTGAAAGTGAAATCACCAAGGAACTCAAATGTTTCTGTGTCACCACAAACATTGGTTTTTAAGAAGAAAAATCAGAAGCAGAGCTACACTTTGACCATTCGTTACAAAGACAACGCAGAACAAATAGTCGAATCTGGTTCAATCAGCTGGGTGGAAGAGAAGGGAAATCATAGAGTAAGAAGTCCTATTGTAATATCTCCAGAAATAGAGGTCTGGTAGTGAAACTCTGCAACTGGCACAAGCTCTTGCATTTTCTAAGTTTCTAATCTGTGGAAGAGGATTCTGTCTGAAATAGCCGGATACATGTCGGCAAAGCATGCTCTTTGATGTTACTGTTAAAATACATATTTTCCCTGAAATATAAGAGCATGACTTGTACCTATAAAAAATGTCACCACCAAAGAGGTCGTCTTTTCGTCACTTGGCTGCTGTGAGCGAAGCAAGCGTGAATTTTCTAACAATCAAGCCTCATAATAGGCATCAAATGTATTGGAAAAGCTAAAGGATTCAAATGGAATAATGCCTACATCTTTATATAAAATGAGAAATAGACACGAATCTGGGGTCTTTGCCCCTAAAAATAAAAATTAACAACAAATTGAGGGTCTTGTTTTATTAAATAATCCATATAGAAAGAAAGTCAAGAGCGTGGCTACGGGAAAGGTAAAAAGGTTTGAAAATCTTATGTTTTCTTTTGTTGATGAAAGAGAATAAAGATTCTTTGACTATTTGTAGAAAAATTTAGATTAAGATAATCAATATAGCAAGTGCAAAGTTCCTGTGAGTTCAATAAATCAATAGGCTCGTGTGTTCTTCTACACTATTTTATAGTATGATGCTATTTCGCTGGGTACGGAAATTAAGATATTAATTCCACTAATCCTATATGAAAATTTTCATAAACCTCCATGTGATTTCATCTTGTAACACTCTCAAAGCAGTCTCCGTGATTCTAGAGTGAAAACCAACGATAAAACATGAATCCAACGCTAAAAATCCCGTGGTGCTTGCTAGATCGTAGTCCTTCATCTTGTGGCTGTTTTGGAGGATTCTTCAAAGTGATGTAACCTCAGATTTTGTTTTGTTATTGTTGATTAAGGTAAGAATCAGTCTCTCCCTCATATGTATATTAGAGTTTCAAGGCGAAAAACAAGTGTTTACACCCTAACTTGAACACCAAAAGTTGATTAAAGAAGAGAATACAACTCCTATAGTGTTGTGGTATGATTGAGGGTTGTAATGAGCAACACCAGCTGGGAATTTCAAGTTGCATCTACTAAGTAAATCATGTTCTTGGTTGTGCTTAAGGTTAATCATGTGTTGTTTGAGTTGTTTGATTGAAAATCTACAAGATAGTAATTGACATGGTCAGTACGGTTTTTTTGTAAGCTGTGTTGAAGCTATATATATAGTTTGTTGTTGCTGGAAATTCTTAGAAATAGTTTGATTATGTTATGGCTACTGTTGTTAAGCTTATCTATATGCCAATTAAGTTGATTGAAGAAGAAAACATAAAAAATAAGAGGTTCACGATAAAGTTAAGGTTAGGCGTGTGGACTACTTTTGAAGATTTTCTTATGATGTTTTGGGCTTAAAATGATATGGTAAGCATAAGTATGATATTACAGATGTCTAGGCAGATTCGTGGAAAAGAAATTGGATTCAAACCATATTTTGTTAATCGTAAATCGAGCTTGCCGCTCAAAATGGTTGTTGAAGTAATCAAAGAGCTTATTGTGAATTATATTGTTGTTGTTTAGGCTGTTTAGTGAGTAACTAATGGGATGTAGTCCAAACAGGGGAGGTGCTGTCCGTTTTCTTGTAGAATATTGGTTTCGAAATG